ATCAACTAAATTTTTTTAAAAAAGATTAATTAAAAAGAATAAAAGCAAAGAAAAAAATACCTACAGGAAGGAAAAAACTAATGAAGAAAAAGAAAAAAATTTGAATTAACTGGGTTAAACCATCAAATTTAGGATCCGTGTCATGAAAGCCTGATAACTAAACAGAAAAAATTTAATATTACGAAACCATAGACAAAAAAATAAACTAAAGGCATAAGCTTTTTCACTGTGGATTGCACCGTGCTATTCACAATAAAAGGCTTAAAAAAATAAAAAGGGGAAAAAAATAAAGGCATACACCATGGGTTAATTTTTTTTCTTATATAAAAAATATAAAAAAAATGCTAAGATCTAAGAGTGTTAGGTCTTTCTGCAAAGATATACCCAAAAGTCTGAGGTCTAGCTGTAACGCTTGACCCAAGAATACTATTTATAATACTAATAATAACATTAAACTTACATGACTTAAAATTAAGTGAGCCTGGCTGCAACACCAGACCTTGAAGTATTAGATGTGGGTTTGGCTATAAGTTTGTGTCATAAAATTGTGATAATTAAATAGATTAATTAAAAAGAAAAAACAAAGAAAAAACCATTAGGAAGAAAAAACAAATGAAGAAAAAAAATAATCTGAATTAACTGGGTTAACCCCTCAAACCTGGAGTTTGCGTTATGAAAGTTTGATAACTAAATAGAATAAAATAATTAATGGGTTTACCCAAAATTAACTAGATTAATCTGTCAAATCAAGTTAACAAAATAAAAATAGGGTTCTTTTTACTTACTATTCATTATGCTCCTTTAAGAGAATTTTTTCCTTCACAATTCTTTCACTTTTATTTTTAGTTTTTTTAATTTAAAACCTTTATGCTTTGGTTCAACACATAATTTTCTTCACTTTTGATCCTTGAGTTTAAAAGAAAAAAGTCAAAGTTGTTGAAAAATAAATGAAAAAAAGAAAAAATAGTTAAATGGTCGATTATGTTGATAAGGATAACCGAACTTGATGTTAGTGTTCCTCTTAATAATAATAGTGTTATTGAGATGTTGTAAAGAGTAAATAGAGGCTAATAAAGTATTTTGTTTAATTTTGTGTTTTGAACCAATTTAAAGGTATTTTAAGTTAAGAAATTAGCTTATTAAGTTTATAAAGGTGTTTATTAGATTTTTTAGGATAAAATATATTGAAAATTAATATTTTGGGTAAAAAAACCCTAACTCAATTTTTCAATTTCTCCAATGATTGGAAGCTAGCTTGTAAATAACTTATCATCTACTTTCAATTGTATTTTTATTTTTAAAAAAATAAAAGATAAACCACATGTCGTCTATATCTAAAAAAGAGGTTAGGCATGTGGGACTATTCTTGCAAGTCCACTCGCACTGGGTTTTTTTTCAATTGGGCTAAGGGGATGTTTGAAATTGTGGTAGCGGTTGCGGTTTAAAGTGTTTTTCATTTATAAATAGATAAAAATGATGCTTTTTTATTTTTTAAAAATTATTTTTAAGATTAGCACATTAAAATAATATGAAAACATAAAAAATAATTTTTAACAATTTTGTTTTGCTAAGTGTTTGGATCCAACCCCTTATATTTTTTTTTCAAGTTTTTTGGGTGTTTTTATTTAGATACACTTTTTTTTATAAAAAAAACTTAGCAAGGTATTACAATTATTATTTATTTTTTCATAATTCTTAAATAATACTATAGGTTTTATGGGAATGTTAATAATTTGTTTTCAATTATTATATAATATAAAAAAATAAATAAAAATAACTTATGAATATTAAATTAAAAAATTAGTTTTAAATTTTTTTAAATATATTTTAACATGATTTTATTAGGTTTATTATTATTTTTTGTCTTTAATTACATACAAAATATTAAGATATCATTTTAATATATTTTAAACTTGCTTTGGACATGATGATATGTTTTTGTTTAGAAAAAAACTTATAATTAAAAAAACATGCTTTCATCAAAATAATTAAGAGGTGCATTAGTAAGAAACTGGAGTTTAGATTAATGAAATATAGTTTCTTTACTTATTTTAAATGATTAGATTTTTTTAACAAACTTTTATTTTAATTATTGGTGCCATTATTAAAAACCATGCTCCTTATAAATTTTTTTTAATCATTCTATTGTTGTTGTTTTTTTAATAAAACTGTTTTACAATTATGCTATTGCTTTTTTTATGGATAATTATATATTTGCATGATATCCACAAATTTTTTGAATAATTGGTTGATTATTATTCAATGAGAATAAAATAATTTTTTTCCTTAACTTTTTTATTGTTATATATATATATATATATATATATTGTTTTGATTGTTTTCATATTCATGCATAGAGATGATTAATTCATAATTTTTAATTTTTATTGAAATTGCTTTCATGATTATAATGATAATGAGTTTTTGCTTAAAATGCTCCTGATTAATTTGTTTTTTTTTTTCAAAATTAAAAAAATGTATGAGAAAATACAATTTTTTTATGGTTCTTTTTATTTAATGAATGAAACATGTTACTATTACAAAACAAACCTTTTTTATAAAGATAAAAACAAGTACATGAAAAAATAGTTCTTCTAAATAATTTCATTCATTATTTTTTCAACAAGTGCCTATGACTAGTTCAATCCCAATTATCTTATTTTGAAACTTAACCCAATTCAACATCAACAAATTATAATATTAATATCACAATGTTAAATACGGTGTTTGTTAGTTTTACTAGGTACATGACCCGCGCGATGCTGCGGGTCAATTTATTTTGTATAAAAAATCAAAAAAATTAAAATTTAAAAATATTAGATTTTTCTGTAAAATTATATCCAAAAGTCTTGGGTTTATTTGCAACGTTTTAGTTAAAAATAATATTTATAATATTAATAATAACATTAAACTTGCATGACTCAAGTTTAAGTGGTTTTAGTTGCAATACTAGATGTCGTGTCATAAAAGTATGATAATTAAATAGATTAATTAAAAAAACCAACATAAAGTTAAACTTGCATGACTCAAGTTTAAGTGGTTTTAGTTGCAATACTAGATGTCGTGTCATAAAAGTATGATAATTAAATAGATTAATTAAAAAAACCAACATAAAGAAAAAACAAATGAGAAAAAAGAAAAAAAATTGGGTTAACTGGCCAAATCAAGTTAACCTGTCAAATCTAGGATTCGTGTCATGAAAGTGTGATAACCAAATAGAAAAAAAAATTTAATATTAATCAACTAAATTTTTTTAAAAAAGATTAATTAAAAAGAATAAAAGCAAAGAAAAAAATACCTACAGGAAGGAAAAAACTAATGAAGAAAAAGAAAAAAATTTGAATTAACTGGGTTAAACCATCAAATTTAGGATCCGTGTCATGAAAGCCTGATAACTAAACAGAAAAAATTTAATATTACGAAACCATAGACAAAAAAATAAACTAAAGGCATAAGCTTTTTCACTGTGGATTGCACCGTGTTATTCACAATAAAAGGCTTAAAAAAATAAAAAGGGGAAAAAAAATAAAGGCATTCACCATGGGTTAATTTTTTTTCTTATATAAAAAATATATAAAAAATGCTAAGATCTAAGAGTGTTAGGTCTTTCTGCAAAGATATACCCAAAAGTCTGAGGTCTAGCTGTAACGCTTGACCCAAGAATACTATTTATAATACTAATAATAACATTAAACTTACATGACTTAAAATTAAGTGAGCCTGGCTGCAACACCAGACCTTGAAGTATTAGATGTGGGTTTGGCTATAAGTTTGTGTCATAAAATTGTGATAATTAAATAGATTAATTAAAAAAACCAACATAAAGAAAAAACAAATGAGAAAAAAGAAAAAAA